CCTCGTCCCCCCGGACCACGCCCAGCAGACCCCCGCGGCCCACCACCACCACCACAAGCCTAGGACAAGGTACACAACATGTGTGTGAGTGTGTGTGGGGGGGAGGGGGGGATCAGTCACCTCACCGGGCTGGCTCCACGCCACTGGTCACATGTCACGCCACATGTCACGTCATGTCAGAGGTCTCGTCACATGTCATGTCATGTCACGGGACACGTCACATGTCAAAGGACACAGGACACGTCACATGTCACAGGTCATGCCGCATGTCACAGGACAGGTCACGTCACATGTATGTCACAAGTCACGCCACATGTCACAGGACAATTCACATCACAGGACACAGGTCACAGGACACAGGTCACAGGACACAGGTCACAGGTCACAGGTCACAGGACACAGGTCACAGGACACAGGACACAGGTCACAGGTCACAAGACACAGGTCACAGGTCACAGGTCACGTCAGTGAGGTCCCCGCCGACTAGAGACTCACTCAGGACTGGACAGCCGCGGATTTATTTCCTCTGGGGTTTGTTTTAGAGTGCGGTCAAAAATTCATGGCGCAACTTATTGTCAAATATCTCGTTAATGAGTGAATCACTGTCACCCATACTTTGCCCAGCAGTTTGTATCAATTGTTTTTCTTAACTTAATCGTATTTTTCGACTACAATTTAGGCTAGATTTTAAAAACTTTTCTTCATAAATCTATATAAAAATACTATAAATCTAGGTCATGCGATGGGATTGTTCACAGCACTTCCCGCTTCTCACACACATTTTGCTTACGCATATATGGCATCTGGCACTTTTTTGTGGCAAAACTTGTTACCAAAAAAAAAAAATGATAGTGAACACAATTTTTTCACTAAAGGTTCTCAAAAAATGCGTTTAATAAAAATAGTGTCACGATTAGAAAAAAAATGTCGGACTTCCTTTTAATAGCGCTAGAGTCCCAGCTGTAAACCTTTTAAAATCTGTGGAAACCACCCACTTGGATTTTTTCTTAGCATTTATTATGTAAATTTCTAGAATACAGCAAACAGGTGATAACATAAATATTGATCTGTTAACCCTATCCGTACGTCGTGTTTTACTATCGTATCCATACCACGTGGGGAACTCTGTGCCACCATTTAACCCTATCTGTACGTCGTGTTTTACTATCGTATCCATACCACGTAGGGAACTCTGTGCCATCACTTTCCAAAGAGGATATTTACTCGTTAATCCGATCCGTACGCTTTGCATAGCAGTTAGCAGTCTGTCAAAATGACTTTTTGAGAAATACTGAAAATTTCAAAAACATCTTCGCTCGAGAAGTATTCTAAAATGTAAAGAATACAATCCCGGAGGTACAAAATGATCCCAGGGCGTACGGATAGGGTTAACTTCAAACAAATTGATACAAGTCACTGAGCAACAGCTGGAGAGTCTATGTTCGATGGTTAAGGAAATATTTGACGATAAGTTGCCCCACGAACTTTTGACTACACCTCATTTTCCTCATCAAGTCAGATAACATGTAACTCATCTTTTTTAGTATAGCTCTGCTTTCCCTGATGAATATTTATTGCAAAGACTGGTTGCACAGGTGTTATATATTATATTGAGAAAAGTACTAAAATGTTCAGCTGGGTTTGCATGTTCTGATGGTCTGTTTCATAGAATTAATTGGATGTTTGTTTCTTTTGTCTTGAACTTGAATCGTTTTGTTTTCTTAATTGAGTAGCGCTTGGTGCGCAAGTGTAGTCAGACTGTGTGTAAGTAAACGAGCCAGGAAACGAAATGACTATGTTTGAGTGTATGCTTTTCCAGGTATGACTCTTGAAGATGCGCGGGAGTGTAAGTGCATGCTGATGTGTCTATGATACTTGAAGATGTGTGTGAGTGTATGCTTATCCAGGTATGACTCTTGAAGATGCGCGGGAGTGTAAGTGCATGCTGATGTGTCTATGATACTTGAAGATGAGCGGGAGTGTAAGTGCATGCTGATGTGTCTATGATACTTGAAGATGCGCGGGAGTGTGGGTGTATGCTGATGTGTCTATGATACTTGAAGATGCGCGGGAGTGTAAGTGTATGCTGATGTGTCTATGATACTTGAAGATGCTCGGGAGTGTAAGTGCATGCTGATGTGTCTATGATACTTGAAGATGAGCGGGAGTGTGGGTGTATGCTGATGTGTCTATGATACTTGAAGATGCGCGGGAGTGTAAGTGTATGCTGATGTGTCTATGATACTTGAAGATGCTCGGGAGTGTAAGTGCATGCTGATGTGTCTATGATACTTGAAGATGAGCGGGAGTGTGGGTGTATGCTGATGTGTCTATGATACTTGAAGATGTGCGGGAGTGTAAGTGCATGCTGATGTGTCTATGATACTTGAAGATGAGCTGGAGTGTGGGTGTATGCTGATGTGTCTATGATACTTGAAGATGCGCGGTAGTGTGAGTGTATGCTGATGTGTCTATGATACTTGAAGATGAGCGGGAGTGTGGGTGTATGCTGATGTGTCTATGATACTTGAAGATGTGCGGGAGTGTGAGTGTATGCTGATGTGTCTATGATACTTGAAGATGAGCGGGAGTGTGAGTGTATGCTGATGTGTCTATGATACTTGAAGATGAGCGGGAGTGTGGGTGTATGCTGATGTGTCTATGATACTTGAAGATGTGTGTGAGTGTATGCTGATGCGTGTATGATACTTGAAGATGCGGGGGAGTGTGAGTGTATGCTGATGTGTCTATGATACTTGAAGATGCTCGTGAGTGTACCCAAATGTTTGCGAGGTAGGAGAGAAAGGGAAAAGAAAGTGAAAGAGAGAGAAAAAGTGGAAAGGTAAAACTGGACAAGAGAATACATGTCCCCGTAAAACTTAAAATAACGTTATCGCCATTGTGTAGCAAACTTATGCGTGTCAGAAAGATATATGATTGTCATGATTTTTCCTTTCTGACTTATCGCATATAATGTGATATATATAGTATAATGTAGGTATTCTGAGTGCGGGATGTTCTTGACACCACCGAGACTGTGTTTGACTATTTGATTACGTAATCTCCAATAAATGCTCGTGCCACAAAACGCAATTGTTTGATTGTTGCAGCAATAAGGGGAACTTTGCATGGTAGGATCACTTGGTACTTTTTTAAAAAATGAAAGTGTCCTCTTAGATCTAGGTCTTAGAACAGGTACCAACAGGTTTCCTGGCTGCAAAAAATACATATAACAGATGAGTTCTTCTGTACATTATAACACATTATCCCCCAGGGCAGTGCCACTGACTGAAGTGTCTTTGGGCCATTCCCAAAGGGGGGATATTAACCTGTTCTTATGCACTGTAGAATTGTAGATCTAAATGGGCTGATTCATCAATGTCATGCTCATATTTTGGCTGAACTGCAACAGGGAACTGCTGCTTTTTCTTTCCAAATCCTTACTATCGTCATTTTTTCTCTACTTCTTTTGCATATTTGTCACTCTTGTGAGCCGCTATTTCCGGGGTGCCTTGATAGTGGAAGCAGACCTTGTGCTCTTGAAGCAAAAGAGATGAGCAGATTAAGTCTGATTCCCTGTAAGGACTTCTCTGTTGACATCCTCCCCTTGGCGCTCATATGACCTTATGCAGTTGCGAGCGCCGTAAAACCTCTACTAAAACAAAAACGACCGGAAGGGGTTACTTTACATTGCTGGATCACTTTGCAACTTTTAAAAAAATGAAAGTTTCCTCTGAAGTTTTGGAACAGCTACCAACAGGTTTCCTGACTGCAAAAAATATACAGCATATTATGAGTTCCTCCGTACATTATATTTATAGTTAACACCCCCCGTGGCGGTGCTACTGACTGAAGTGTCTTTAAGCCATTCCCAAAAAAAGGGGGGGGGGGATATTAACATGTTCTTATGCACAGTAGGATTGTAAATGGGCTGATTTATCAATGTGACGCTCATAACTGCACCGTGAAACCTCTACTAAAACTAAAACTAAAAAGGGGGACATTAACATGTTCTTAAGCTCTGTAAAAATTTGAATGGGCTGATTCATCAATGTCATGCTCATAACTGTGCCTGAACTGCAACGGAGAACTGCTGCTTTTTCTTTCCTAATCCTTACTATCGTCATTTTCCTCTACGTCTTTTGTATGTTTGTCACTCTCTTGTGACCTGCTTCTTCCGGGGTGCCTTTATAGTCATAACAGACTTTGTGTTGTTAAAGCAAGAGAGATTTCTCTGTTAACATCCACCCCTTGGCGCTCATATGACCTTATGCAGTTACGAGCGCTGTAAAACCTCTACTAATTTTTTTTTTAAGGAGAGATTGGATTTCTTTTAGATTGATCACAATACTGTGACAAATGATTCCAGCCATTGTGCAGGGTGTCCCAAAAGTCTGGCACCATCCTCGTTTTCATTTTTTTTTTAACAGCTTACTATTCAAATGTGCACCTCCGTTTGAAGTTGTATCGTCATTTTATACTACAATTAGTTCTAAAAACATAAGTAGGTCTATGTATATTAATCTAGTTTGTTGAGATGTTTTGTTTCTTTGTGGGGGGGGGAGGTGGGTTTGTTTTTTTTTTGTTTGAGGGATTTTTTATTTGGTTTTGTTGTTGTTTTGTCTGGGGTTGCTTTTTTTTTGTTTGTTTGTTTGTTTGTTGGTTGGTTGTTATTGTTTTCTTTTGGGGGGGGGGTTTTGTTGTTGTTGTTGTTGTTGTTATT